TTAATGTATAAATTATAATTCTAAAATGTTAAGCTTCTAAAAACTTTACATGTTTATAGTTTGTACTCAATTAGTTATTAAATAAGTTAGTAAGTATGTATATAATTACCACTTTACCAGACGCAAATTATCAAATAACAAAAAATACTATAACTTTCCATAATATTTTTTATTTTTTTTAATTTAAAATATATGATTAAACTACTAATATATTATTATTATTTACTTTTATTTTATTATTCGCTTATTTTTAAATTTAATAATTAGGGAGAGAAACATCGATATTTCAGGTTATTTATACTTAACAGTTTTATTTTATTTTAATAAATAAAATTGTTTTGTTTGATTAGCAATATTTGATGTTATAATAAAATGGTTAATTAATAAAAATAATAATGTTCGAAATTCTTATAAAAACGTGTCACACAGGTCATATAAGTAGCTACTGATGAACAGAATAACTCACGAGGAAATGATGATTGGCGATTTTAAAAAGAAGTGTGGTAAGTTTTATCACTTTAAAATACCCAGCTGTTTATTAAATGCACCGATGTATCGATGTGATTTTTGCGTCGTTGGACTGGATATGTATATTTTTATAGTTTTAGAAAAATATTCCAACATAATAATGATATTATGGATAATACCTTTATTACATATACGTATTTATATGCAACAATATGCCGTTGAGAGTTTACTTCAAATTGCCATACATTTTTTTTTAACAATATCGTAATAGATAATAATACAAAAATAAAAGGTACACTAAGTATAAAACAATATGTGCGAACAGTAAACAAATATTATCTTTCTTGCCAGGTAATTTAATTTATATTTATGTTGGTAAATATATTTATGCAATATAATATCGTAAAGTGTTCATAATATTACGCGTCATATCTACTCTTTATTTTTTTGGTACACGGTGTGTGTGTGTGTGGTAGGTATATAAACTTGCATTTAAACGAATTGTTCAACACTTCCACGGAAACACATTTTTTTTTTTTACGTTTATCTTCGCGAAACTATAATATATTGATACAGAACATTATATAAGTGTACTTAAAATGTGTTATAGATTGGCCTTCCTTCTAGACTCAGGTTACCGATTACCGGTACTCGCGGGCTCGCCGAGTGGGCAAAGCATATTATTATTTTTTCCAGAGTAGAAAAAAATACATGCAATATTTTCCTCAAAAACATATTTTGTTTTATGAAAAAATAATAAAATAATAATTTCATCGAAATATCGAAAACATTATATTATTATAATATATACTGCAGACTTGGAGAGCAAACTGATTTACGTGCTGGCACAAAAAAAAAAATGCCGGAGCAAACGTCCGCGAGCGTGGGGGTAAATGGTTTTTCGAACGTGGTAGAGAATAATGTAAACAATCGCTACGCCAAATTTTAGAAGCAAAAATATAATATAATATGCGATATTATATTATATACATACGCAGACACGATACCCTATATGAGCGTGAATTATTTTTGGAAAACCGGAAAAATGTTCGTATACTATATATATAGTAGGTTAATAAATCCTGTTATACTCGAGAATAGAGATTATTAAAAATATTATGTATAACGCATTATATCGTCATGTCGATCACTATATAATATAATATGGATAATAATAAATTAATAGACTGGCGGAAACTTTTTGGTCTGGTGAAAACATATTTTTATTCACATTTTTCAGTTGCCACTATTTTATAAAAACAAGTAATATACGCGCACCTACCACTCTTCGCGTACCTAAATATACTTAAAACGGTTTTAAATAATAATTACTAATTAGGTGCATTATTGTATGCCACCCGTCTGCCTTGTACGTTTTCCTTTTGATTGTTTCACCAATGTAAAAAAATTAAAACCTTATAAATTAAAATTAAAAGTATATCAATATCTGTATAAAGTTGAGTACCTACCTACCCATACTTACTTAACCTACTTATGAAATAAGACGCTTATTTGATATATTATTTACCGAACGCAGTTCAAACGAATTCCATCAAAGCAATCACACAAGTTTATAGCTGGTACCTATTTTAAGATTGATGCGTATACAAAATATAAACTAAACGAACTACGAAGTATATCATATTTATTGAGATTGAACATTTTTACAGTAGTAGCAGTTATATCCAACGTTACATTTAAAAAGAAATAATATCATATTTAATATGCGAAGGGAGTGTCAGCACACTATTTGTTTTCTTCATCCTACCCGTACACAACGTCATAACAAAGTTGAGTTCAGCAGATCCAATTTTGTGATGTTAACTTTTGCCTTTAATGTATTAGAGTGAACTAACCTATATTATCGAACTTAATTTTTGCAACCTTTATACAGCGTGTTTTTACGATATTTAAATTTGTGCGAAGTCGTGATTTTATGAGTTCCCACCTGTAATATTGCAAAATTTGAAAACGATCATATTGTTATTATGTAGCATTGTAGCACATAACAATATTGAAATATCGTTATAAATCCAACGGTTATAAACCGCTGATACTGTTCTTATTTTCTTAACTTTGAGTTTAACGATAGGCAAATTCACTCTAATACTAAAGCTATAACAACACCTAAATCGTTTTTGCTGAATGCAAATTGTCCGTGTTTGCAGGGTCAGAACTATCAGAAGGCGAACAACAAACATTCAGCTGAGATCCTCTTAACGATAATGTTAATGTTAATAATATTATTATAACTTATAGAGCATAATATCGTCGTGCGCCGTATGATTCATAATCCAAATATTGTAGAAGTGTATATTTACTTATTATTATAGTTGAAAATAAAAATGCTTTTCAAATTTCAAATCAATTCTGTACCAATAGGTAATAATACTATAATATTTTTTGGCGTGATGTCACAATGAATTCAGTAAACTCGAAAAACCTGTATATAAATGATAACAAAATCAATTATTTTGGAAAGATTGACGTTCTGAAATGTTCAAATGTTTGATACGATATGTACTATAGGTATTGAATTGTAAACCCATTTACTACTTTCAGACTACCTACTTGTATTATATTCAGACTATATAGAATATATTATATCTATGATATTTTTCCGCCCTAATTGTTGATGAACGTCCAAACGTCTTCGATATAATCGTATAGGTATTATATAAATAAGACGTACCTATATGTACAATGATATATTGATATCTTTACATCGAAATTTTTTTTTTTAAATAATAAAATAAATTACATACCTAAATAAAAACAAACACAAGTATAGGTATGCTATTTTGTGGAATTATTTATCCGTTTTTCTAACTCCAAAAATCACATTCAATTTGAAAATTAGGTTTTAATATGTTGTTCAATTATACTTATAAAATGTATTATTATGTAGGATCTTATAACCAATACTATGGGATTCCATTCAATACAGGTAAAATAGGTACCTAGGTATATAATATATAGGATAATACTGTACCTTTATTACTCTATAGTCTTCAACTAACTATATATGTTTAAGATGGCGGATGGTTAGTTAGCGGATCATACTCCATTTCCTTGTAAATAACCTGCTTCGACATAACGTTTACGTCCATATAAAATATCAATTATATGATAGATTTGAATTATTGTTTTGGGGGTTGTTCATTTTTACCAGTAATTCACTAAAAAAAAATTTTTCTAAGAGCATCACTAAACAAATTTGTGCTCAATATGCATGAATATATATATATGTACACGTTACACGATGAGGACAACATAATTTCAGAAATATAATATTTAACTAATGAGTTTTTCAGAGAAAGTTGTAGGATAATTTTGATCACCTTCGTACTGAAGAGCGAATTAATGATAAATTACAATCATGTACATTTTTGCGAAACATTTTTATAGACAGGTACCTATGTATAATATATATTGATTTATTCGTTTCCTAAATTGTAATTTATATTCATCTGATTACAAAATTCTTCTACTAAGATATTGCTATGATATATTTTATCATTCCTAAATTTAATACTCTTTGATAATTACTTTTAATTAAACTGTGTTCTCGTGAAATTAAATTACCCCCAAAAAACTTGTTGTTCTGATGCTTTCAAAATATTTACAAAGTAATACAACATAAATAATATTTTGAATTTATTCATCAAAATAGATGAAGTTTGTTCATATCCAAAATCAATATGTTTTGAAATTATTCTGTAGAATTGTCTATAAGACAATAGTCCATTCCATCTGTCACGAACAGTATTTTATGAAGAAAAATAGGATGATTTGCATTCGCTTGCGTAAAACAATCAATGTTTTCAATTTTATACTTTAAAGGAAGGGAGAAAAATAATGTTAAACAAAAGTATTTGTGTATAGTTTTTTTTTTTTAAGTAATTTTATTTATTTATATATATATTTAAATATATTTGTATAGTTTTATAATAATAATAATAATAATAATCGTAATAATAATTATGGTTAACAGTTATTCAATCTATATAGTGTACCAAATAAGGTCTATTCATATTATTAATTATAGAATAATAATATATAATATATAACATTTTACGATGTTTTCTTACTAAAATAAATAAACAAATAAATAAAATACAGCAGACTAGTATGTTATTTTAAGTAAACATGAGCAGATATTCAATCCTAACGAGGTAGGTAAACAAATAATAAATTAAAAATAAAAATAAATTAAGTCTTAAATAATGTGTTCACAATAATTTTGATGTTATTGGTAGGTAGGTACTAAAATTCTACATTGCTAGGTATGCTATGTAAATCAAAACAATTTACGCGAGTAATAAATAAAATGTAAATACAAACAAATGATCGAAATGTTAACCTTAAAGTAGTTTTCTTTTTTATGGTGTAGATATAGTAGTCTACGCTTTTTTATTTGAAATAACTATATATTTTTTATTATATATGACACACAAATATAATAAAGTTGTTTAGGATCTAAGAGAAGAAGAAGGAAGTTATCTTAAGCATATTTTAAAATGGCGTCGTATTTAACGTCTTCTGCGACCGAATCTGAGGAATACGTGGTCCAGGTCTTGGCGTTTATCATTTTGCATCGCTGTATCGACCAATCCATCAGACATTCTGCTGTCTGTGAAAAAAAAATCACCTGAGTATTATTGTTAGTAATGTCAGTAGTATATAATATAATATACAAATCATTTTGAACTAAAATTACAGTCAATAGAAATTAGAATATTAATTTTAGATATAAATTTTAATAATACAAAAAAAAAATGTAAATATTTAATAGCATTTTCAGGCACATTTAAATAATTTTAATAAAAAACACTACAACCTAATTAATAGAAAATGTTAATGGAAATCTTTATGTATAGATATTTATAATTGGAAATGCAACAGTTCCTATTTATATGCGAATTATTAAAAACGAGGTAAATGGCTGAAAAAGTTATACTTTTATTCAAGCTTATATAATATGTATTTTTTTCAAAAATGTAGCTAATATTTATGATTTTAATATATGGACACTTGATATTAATTTACTATAATATATTTTCGTAGCGTGTATATAATATGTGTTGGTTATTGGTGATACACTGGTACCTACGAGCTACGACCTACCTATATACTCTATAGAACATAATATTTTGTATAGTTTTCTTTATTTCTTATACACAGATAATATATTTATTACATATTACATACAATTATAAAACATATTGTTATGTATTTATGTACCTATATATATTGTTATCTTCTCCATGCGCCATATATTAATTTACCTATATAAAAATATAATATAATAGGAACCTTAATATTATGCCTAACACTTGTTTAAAGTTTAAACAAAACATTTTAACTATGGAATCTGATCATTTTCGGATAGTTGGCAATGAGCATTGTTATTATTTTCCCAGATTATAGGTTGTTCGTGGATGTAAAATTATTAATATGTTTCTATATTTTATGTATCGTAATTTTTATCAGGATATTTGTATGGATTGGGTTAATTCTCCGTCTCTCCCGGGTAGAAAGGAAAATAATGGAAAATTACGTTATATCTTACAGCACAACAATAATATGTTTGTAAGATGCACTAGATTTTTGACGCTTTAAGCTTATAAATTAGTAACGCTTAGATAACCTAACCATACAACATGAATTGTTTATTTTAGAAAAGTGGGAATGTGAGACAGTCGTGAATATAAATACCGAAGTGTATAATGTGAAATCGTAAAACATAGAAACATAGAGCAATACGGAATTGAGACTATGTATAAATATTAATTGTATAATATATGTATATATATGAGGGACGAATAAAAACAAAATGCTGTTCTTTAAACAGCTGGTCGTGTTTTTGGTCTATCCGTGTCGAACTCAGTTTTTATACGATTGATAAGATATATGACTACTATAATATTATTTCTGACAACACTGTTTTCATTTGTTTTTAACGTACCTATTCATACTATTTTGCTACGTTTCGTGGTACCTACTGTACCATACCTACGTCTTATATTGTTTACTATATATACCTATACTCAATACTGTATCGTTGTAGTTATTTCTATATTACATGATAGTGCATAATCATAATAATATAGTATGCGTTTATTATTTGTGCAAGCATTGGGAATGTGCAGTATATAGGTATCTTGTGCGCTCTGAAAATGTACTCACAAGGCATAGGCATCGGAAACTGTTTGTCTTGGATGAATGTTTCGATGGCGTTCGATAGGGTGCGGATGGTGGACAAAGTCAAACACGCTTCTCGCACCTTGGGCGGCGCGTCCTCCAGCAGCCCTGGCATGCACCGCGTGGGGAGGTTGTTTATCCGGCAATCGCACACGCTGGCCACGACCAGTAGCACCAGCACGCTAGTCAGCATCGTCCTGTACGTAGACATTATTTTTCTTTCTAAAACAATCAATACGATAGAGTTGACAAACGTTATTTCTGCACAGTGTGTGTGTTACATAATATATATTATAGAGACGAGATAGGTATACAGTCATTGTTTGACGCGTGTGACCTGTCGACATGCAATAGGAATACAGTCCTTTAAAATATAACTATAAATATATAATATATACGTCCGTACGACGCTTTGCACGTTTCGTTTGTCGCTGTATAAACGGTTAATATAATATATGTTACAACAATTTCGTCGACGCACACCATAATTTTATTACAAGTGGGCAATGAGCATTATTTTATTTGCCGACATCGGCCCCGCACGCAAACACCTATAGTCGATTTCGCGTCATTCACTTTCCACAAACCAACCCGATAATATAATATTTGGTCATCAAGGCTTTCGATTTGATTATATTTTGATTATATCACAACCACGAGAGATAGCCATGCGTGGGATACCTACCGTTGTACACCTACACTATATAGGTACAATATTATGTATCGTCTCTCGGGTTATTCAAATATTTAATTTTAGTACGCCCGTGATACTTATCAGTATACAATTTTAAAATAATTTATATCACTTAACTCTGGAGTGATTACTATCAATTGTCATTTTGTAAATATTTTTTTTTTAAGTTTTGATGGTTGTATGAAATGCAGTATGATAAAACTCTTTAATATAATTTATTTATAATACTATTTTAAGCAAAACATTTTGAAATATGATAATAGCTAATAGCTATACCTATATGGGTTATGAAATATGATATTTATTAAATTTTTATTTTTTATTAACAACATTATTTGTCATTTGTCATAATGTTTATTTTCATATTTTAATATATCTGTACATGGTTATTTGTACCAACGAAATAATTTTATTTTCATTTTCAATGCAACTTATATTTTTGGAGAAGAGTTTTTTCTAACTATGTGTATGCAATTTAAATGTTCTGTAAATAATCTTACTTGACTTGTGTGTCCTCACATGCGATAATAATATGTCATGCGAAATTAATATCTTTACTTTCTTCACCTAAGTTGAGAATTTATTATTTTTGACAAATGTCAAAATAAATAATAATTTCTCAAAAATAATTAAACCCCCATATTTGTTATAAGTTTTATTGTTGATTGGTTAAATCCTAAATAAATAGGTGAAATCGTTTTACTGTATATTATAGTTGTTTTTGACTTTTGAGTGTTAAAAATAGATTTTTTAGATAACTGTATTAGTGTGTTGTACACATTTTATCGTTTCTCTATAATTCATTTTTCCCGATTATTATTTATCAAATAAAATAGAAAAATAAGTACTAATTTTGACCTAGGAAAGAACCATAATTAGATCCAATTTAAAATATTTAATTTAAGTGCTAAAATACTTGAATATAGTTTATAATAAGATATGTATTTTTTTTTTAAAACTAGTTCTATATATTTTTGTAAAGTAGATAATAAATTGCTAAATAATCACTTTATAAAACTATGATCGTATGATAATATTATGTCTTTAACCGTTAATTTCAAGTCTTTGCTAAAATACATAACACCTACGACTCCAATAATGTGAATCGTGAAACTTCATATAATTTACTAAGGTCTGATGGGGAGAAAGATAAAATTGGTGACAATATTCCCAAATAAACATTTATTTTTTGTCACCAGAGGATTTAATATTTAAGTTTGATTTACCGAGTTCTGACATTGGTAATGTCGGTGGCGTGTATAAATTCTACCTCCACAGTCCCCATGGCACATATACGATTTACAGATATGACATCCTATGTACCCACATAAGCTCTTTATACTGATAATTCCTTAAATCCCGTTACAATTAGATGACCCCGCAGAGTTTTGATTCGAAACTTGAAAAAAATAATACAGTAATTGAGAAAGATAAAGTACATACATCTGTATGAAATAAAATGAACCTATTTCGATTTTATGCTTATGTGTCGGATGTTAATGTGTAATGTCAAATAAATCTATGAGATTTGAGACAAAATGTTGACATTTTTGTCTTACCGAGAAATTATAATGATTATTAATGTGATTTTTTAAAATGAGCTAGTTTTGAATAAACACGATATTTACGTATGTATAATATCTTCGGTTACTATAACAAAAATAATAAGTAGGTATAGGTAGATTACTTTTATTTTAGATGATTTTGCTATAGTTTCTTAGTAGGTATTTCTAAATCTGTACTTTAGTTATAATACTCGTATTATAGATTTTGAATGTAGATTTATGTGTTTACGCCTTTGTGGATCAGATTCAAGAATAATTAAGGAGTGATAGTGCCTCTGACAAGGAGTAATAATGATATTGGACTGTAGGTATAGATGATTTAATATACTAATGAAATACAATAAGATATTACTAACGAAATAATAGTAATAATATTTACTCGTAATGACGTAGTTTAAAAAAATATTTATAAATGTATATCATAAAAAAAAATCAAGTTGTTATATTTTACTTAACAGTTTAGTCTTCATAGTAATAAAAACAATTGTTACCCGAGGGTAAAAATACAAATAAAATATTTAATAACTTTCGAGTTTCCTTGAAAACTTTTTAAGGTGTGCTTTAAACAAATAAACTTGGGAGCAACTTAAATATTCATTAATAAATTACCTGTGGGAATAAAAGGTTATTAATTATTATATTGTGTGATGTAATTGAAAATCAATTTTTCATCATGAATACAAAACGTATAATCAAATATAAAATTAACAATCTCCACTGATAAAATAATATATTCACACATTATGGTGTTTGATAATCCCCATTTTGATAGTTTAATGAATTCAAATCTATAATCGAAATGATTTTTTATGTATCAAAATACAGTTTAAAATATAGGTAGTTGAATACTTGAATAATTCATTGATCAATTAATATGGATCATAAAATGTCAAGTTTTAAACACAATTCTAGTTTAAATCATACCAAAAATTCCAAACTATGAATAACTGAATTATACCTACTAGGTATTTATAATTTAACTTAAAAGTTTTTTTTAAGATAACCATAAAATCATTTATTAAATTAGGTACACGAAAAATGTAATATTATATTATACCTACATAGTCTACTAGGTAGGTATAAAATAATATATTACTAGTAAGGATAAATTTATCTTTTGCAAAATAACGGAGATTTTGTTCATTATATTTCAATTAAATTTAGAACATTTATTTAATAATAATTTATTTCGAATTAACATTTTAAAACAATGTAGTAAACAAAAATTACTAATAAAATGACGTACCTACCTAAAAATATCATTAACACTTCTTAATTGCAACCTTTAATCAAAAACATTTTCACTTGGTATTCATAAGCAGTTTTTATTGTATTAATAGTATATTTTATACATGCATCTAATTTGTGTACTTGTTATTCTGGACGAGTATAGTTAGGTAATACGGTAACATGTAGGTATAATGGTTAGATTCATTCCAAAAAGGAAAATATACAATACCCTTCTTAAATTGTTATTTGTACTGAAAATTTTGAATAAATAAAGTTGAGTTTTTAGAATATTTTTCCAAATAGTATTGGTTAAAAATTATAGATGTCAGTATGTCACATCTACTGCAAAATACATTCTGTTGTGAAATGTATTTCGTATATTATGTTTTATCAGTTCCATCAAGGATTAGTGAAAAATGTTATTAGGTATGTGTTATGTATTATCCCTATAAGCTTTAAGTGACTGATTGAAAATTTTAGGATACCAGAAACTCAAAACGTAATAATAACTGACGGGAGTAAATAAAATATTTGAGGGTTTAAGATTGTTTAGATATCTGAAAAAAAATAGCTGAAATTGTATCTTTAATATATTTATTGATGAAATTTCAAATACATATATTAATAACTATAATACTTTTTTAATTATTCTTACTTTTAGTAAATTAGTAAAATAATAAATTATATACATATTATTCTACTCGTAGAATTTGGACCCTCGCCCTCATTACTTTACGAGTTTTTATAGTCTCTCTCATAGATAGAACCTACGATAATCCCGATAGGCCCTTCCGTGGTTTGTAATAGTATTTGATTAAATTTGCGGTCGGTTTTATTGGTCGGGAATTCATATTATAGGTCTAATATTGCTATTTTCAAAATTAGACTATAATATGTTGTTATAGTAACCATGTGTTTTTCTGCGTGGTAATATAATATTATAGTGCATTTTATTTAAAAGATAATAATATATTCGACAATTATTATTTTTAATTCTAGTGTAAAAACTAAACAAAACATAATTTACTGCTGCAATCTAAATAACGATAACAATCTTTAAAATAAACTCGAAAATTTAAAGAACAATACTGTAGGTATCAATGGAATTAACATAAAAGAAAATATCACTTTAAAATATTTGTAGTGCCCAAAATATTTTGACCGAAAAGACACGTACAGATTTAAAAACATTTTTAAGAAGATACTGAACTTAAATTTCTCGAAAGTGTTTTACTGAATTTAAAACAAGACCAATATTAATTTTTATAAAATATATTAACAACCTTCCTATTTTACCGAGTGTTTGAGATTAAATCACAAAAAAAAAATGAATGATAATAATAACTGATTTATATATATATATTATTAAATGGTGTATATATACAACCGTTTTCCTATTGTTCGAGATTATAATATTTAGAATGTCGATGATCAATAAACAATGTATTGTGATATCTAAAAGCAATAATAAATCAGCTAAAACCGCACTTGATAAAAATTCTTCAAAATATTTCCATTGTTATCGCCTTATCGGCATTCTTACTTACAACTTTGGAATCTATTTGAAAATATTGAAACATTTTCTTCTCAAAAAACTAACTATATTTGATGACGAATTGACAAACAGTCACATGAATTTTTTTAAGCACTCCTTGTCGATGAACAAGTGTTTGCAGGAAGTTATTTAATAAGAGGCTGTTAATATTAATAATATATTATAGT